TTTAAATATACTGCTATTCGAAATTATTCGAAATCGGGCCCGCGAAACCAGGGTTTCGAAATTACGTCGATCTGGAATATAAAATGTTCGTCGGTTCAATGGCAGTGTAAAGCGTCCGACTGTATCCCCTTTTGCTACAAAGACAGTAACCATTCCCAACTATTGTACGAACGGCACGGAATTTATCGAGGAGAAATTTTTCCAGCGAGACAGCAGCAGCTCCGTACCTCCCGAGCTACTTTCGAAGATCCAAGAGAATAAATTCTATCCATTTTTAAGATACCTTTCACTCCCGGAAGCTGTCACGAATATGGGAATCCTCGTTTTCCGCTTTACTTCGTTCACGATCGGTCCGTGAAGCTTCCGCGGACTTGCTGCCTGTTTAATTGTAAATTGATCCTAAACGTCAGGTTTACCATTAGCCACGCTCGCTGTTTTATTCTGTGAAGAATTTAATTAATTTATTCGATGCATTGTTTAATTATAAATTATATTATGATCGCGGATAATTCGGTTCAAGTGCGCCTCGGTACTATCAATGGAATTAATTAAATTTTGATTACTCGTGCACCGGTCTCTGAAAAACTCATCTATTATAGAACTAATTTTATATTAACGAATCTCAAACGAGTTTGGAACATTCGTTTATATAGAAACGGATCGAATGTCGAGGCAAGACAACTATAAATATACTGCAACTAGAACTGACACCTCGTTAAACAATAATTACTCATTTACCCACTGATATCAAATATAACCTCTTAGTGTCTTGAATAAACTAAATTGAAGTATCTTGAATTAACCATTCGCAGAACACCCAAAAAACAATGAACGTTTTGAGCAATTAAGAACTAATTAAACTAGAATTGAAACCTCGTTAAAAAGTAATTACTTGTTCATTCACTGAAATCAAACATAACCTCATAGTATTGCAAATAGAATAAATTAAAATATCTTGAAATAAAGATTCGCATTGAATTTTCGTATTGATCTCAATAATATCGTAAAAATAAAACATTGAGAACAGCTAGCGAATCTCGTTTATGGAACTTCTTTCTGCAATCAAGTTAATTCCTTCGCCAGTCCGACCAAATGGTATTCAATTCCCGATTCCTCCAAGACGCAGCCTCGAGAAACGAAATTTAGCCAGCATTTTTTAACGAGGATTCATCCTATTTCCATCTCGTACCGCGATTCCCGTGCCCATAGGATAGCAACAACGCATGGAGACTAAAATTGAAACGAGAATCTATGATACGGAGGCGGCGGGCCGAGCCAACCGTATCTTCTACTTGTCCTGCAACGCAGGACTTCCCCCCCCCCCTTCCAACCGGTTTACGTTAAATCAAGCAATCAGCTAAAGTGCACCGTGCTCGGTGGTTTCCACGAGAATGCCGATTCGACCGGATTACTTAACTTTAATCCAAAGACGTCGATACCACTATTCTTCGGGCGTCTCGAGAAGCGCGTTGCTTCCCAAGAGTTATAATGTTTGTGGACTGAATCCGGGGGAAGCCATTGCGCCGCAAAATGTACCAGGATCACGTAGGGGTCTTTTAGCGTGTGAGTATATATAGTTACTTGTTATCAGTAAAGGGTAAATGCACCAATAAATTAAAAAATATTTGGCACGTTACAATTAGATTTTTTAATATATATATTAAATTTTAATAACCTTGAAATATGTTTTAATTTGTCCCTACACATACATGTATAGATATAATAGGCGGTCTTTCTTAATTTCAGATATATTCGCGAAAAACTGCTTCTACTTATTGTCAGCATGTGTCTAATTCAAACCCTGATGGGTCAAAACACCAGGACGGACGAATACAATTAAAAAGATAACGTTAAAACAGCCATCGGATCGTAAGAAAAAGTCTCACGAGATTAGGACTGAAGGTTAGGTTAGAAAATGGCGTCGGTCGAAAAGTCCAGTCGGATACGAGTATTCTCAGGGCGAGATCGACGAGGGGAGAGGGCATCTCAAGAGGGGCGCGCGAAAAAAGTTATCAAAGCGGCAGGACAGACGAATTTTCCACCGTTGGAGCCGAGTATCCGAAGGGATTCGAAAACGGGGCCGGCCAATAAATCCCTGCCCCCAATGTCAACTCTAACAACGATCCGTCCTGACGGTGGCCAGGCGGCGACTCCGGTCGAGTAGGGGACAGGGCTCAATGGGGAGGAAAGAAACGACGGGGGTAAAAAGAAGGGGTGGTGGCAATAGCCTCGGCAAAGCTGCGGTTTCCAATTTAGTAGCGCCACTTTATATACAGTTCGGAAAGGCTCAAAGAGGGTTGGGAAGAAGACGAGAGGTGAAATGGAAGGAGGGGGGGGGGAGGGGATGTCCGACGTCGCGAATGTCGGGACGAAAAGGAGGCTCCGCGAGGAAAGAGGAAGCGGACAGACAGCGGAAAGGCGCAAGAGGTGGGGGGTGGTTGAAAAGTGGAGGAACTTGTAAGGCGACGATGAAAGCCCACAACTTGAATGGTTGGTTCCTCGTGCTTCAGTCTGATTGCCGTACGAATGTCTCGTCGCTTTCCACGGGTCATTGCTGTTTCCGGGCGTCTGCTTTCACGATGACGCGCGGACACCTTTGTTGATCCCTTGCCTCCGAATGCCACTCGGCGATTCGCTAAATGTTACGCGCTTTTTTCAAGAGAACTTGATGGACGAGGATGCCACCGGGGACCTGAATTCTTCGGGGATGAAAACTCTTCTGGGTGACGTATGCGCTTCATTTGATCCCCTGTGTGACCCCTTAGCCTTTAGGCGGTTTCACGAGGGACGAAATTGTGAAGACTTGGATTATAAATTATGGGTAGACTTACAAATTATTAATACATTTGGAGTAGAGCTAAATTATAAATTTGGTAGGGAAGAACTTTTTTAAATGGAAAGTTGCAATTGTATGGAAGGAGGAATGGATTTAAAATATATATATATAGCCTCTACGTTGCAACGTGTTATGGAGTGTTAACACATTCCCGATAGGAAACGAGAATTCTCGTTTTTAAAAATACCATTAATATTCTGTTACAAGCGAACCAACTTCCAAATGAATTTTCCGAATAATTTCGTTTCGTTCGCGAGGACGTCACCCACAAAGAAGCTGTAATATTTGGTTTTCTTAACGAATAAAATTATGCATCCGGGACGATTTTAATTGCTCAAAGCGATATTAAAAATACGGTAAATGTGCAACAGTTTACGCGAGAACGGGAACACAATCTCCCACGCGCAGAGAAGCAATGAAATTTTCATTTTCCGCCCATCACCCGCGAAACAGATCACAATTTCGTAGTAATATCGCGACAGCTTCATCCCTATTTACATGAATTTTTTTGAAAAATAATTTTCCACGATTTTTATCCGCGACACTTGTAAACATTCAAGCTTTCGTTAATAAAATTGTAGCCTTTATCGTTGTTATTTTCTCGTCGATAAAAATTTATCGAAATATCTACTCTCTCTATTTACACGATTCAACGTACTAAATGACGGCGAATATTGCAACACGCGCGTTTCACGACGTGGATCCGGCTCAAAGCAAATTTCCATAAACAAATGACGAAATATATATTTTTATTTCGTATTCACCGACATCGTTGCGATAGAAATCGATTGTGCACCTCGTGGTGAGGTGTCCGATGGCACCGGACGGTTCGGCGGGTTCACGAATGAAAGTTTACAATGCATAACGACGGGATTGACAAAACGATGAAGACATTCCGGCCCGTTAAACGGGAGAGAATCTCGGCCTTCACGTGAGAAGGGCCGATAAATTCGTCGCTTTCATCGTCATGGAGAACATCTACGCCGTAATATGCACCTTAATCCTGACGTTACCTCTCCTCATCCAGTTATACATGCTAATCGTATGTAATTCAGGGACATACATTTATTTTCTCCCGCGCGAATTCTACCAGCGGCGGCTTTTAATTCGGTGATTAAGCCCGCTCGGAGGTTAGATTTACCATAATTGTTTATTTGGTTAGGCCGAATGCATTTTCGTAATTGGTTTGAAATAATTTTTAAATTATATCAGTTTTTTGTTATTAATGAACGTGAATGAGTGAAACGCTGTATTTTGGTATTTGTTAGTATCTTTGGGGAGGACGTGATATTCTGTTACGTTATGGAAAATGAAACGACACAATTTTTAGTGAAGTTTTAAATTGTATTAAGTGAAACATAAATATTAAAGAACTACATATGTAGTAGTAAGATTGGTAACGTTTTAAGAACTATTGTTCTATTTAATATCAGCTAAAGCTTATTACAACTATGTTGACAATACATCTTTATTTATTCTTGATTGTTCATTCTTTAGCCAGATATTTAACTAGTAATATATAGTATTAGGTACGTACAAAAAGTGATTAAATTATGTGTAATTAAGTATTAAAAACTTTTAATGTGTTCGTGATATTTATTGAATGTTCATTTTATCAATGCACAGAAGATTTTAATTTCACTTTAATGCAGAAAGACACATGCGATATATAAACAATTACAGGTATAAAGTATTATATACATATAGAACCAAAATCTGTTAAAGATTAAGAGTGTTCCAACACGAACAACAGATTCTACTAAATGTACCAATCTTTGATCGTCCATTTTCTTCTTCGGATGATAATATTCAGTATATCTTCTAACCGTACGTAGAATACTCAACAAAAACTAACGAATAATTCATCGATACACCAAACACAATTCATAGAGTGATTCCTCGATGAATGCGACACGAGTAACGCCGTTATTCCCTCCACTGGGGGGACCCCCATTGGAATCAGTCAAAACAGACTAAACAGAAGCTAAGCAAAGGCTCGGTTTCAAGTAAAAAACAAATTTATATGGGGCTGCAAACCTCTCCGCCTTGCCATGAATGCTCCGAAGCAGACTCGAGTACGTCGCACTCATCGAGAGATTACTATAACACCTATTACAAACCAGATCCCACCACGTCCAATTAATTCCGCTGAAATTCTCACCAGACAAATCCAAAGAAATTATGCACGATCTTCCACTACTACGCGACCAACGACGACACGAACAACGCCCAAGCACCAAGGCTGTTGCAGCATTACTCGAAGGAACCATCCTTATTCGAAGCGAAGTCCGAATCGAAGATGCTATTAACCAGCCTCAGAAGCATTTCCTCGTCTCCAGTCATACCTCGACCATCCTCATCCACCGAAATCGAGGAACCATTGGCCGTTCTGTTACCGGAGGCCATGCACTCATCTACGTTCCTCAAAACCGGCGATGTTCTGCCCGTGGTGGACATCACGTGGACCTACAGCTCGTACCACCACAAAGCTTTCGAGACCTGTCTACGGAATTATTACGGGGTTAGGTATCCGCCCGGAGAGGTGGTACTGAACTCGATGCAGTTGCATCTACTAGACTCGCGGACCACCGTCGAGCCGTACAGATCGGCCGTCGGTCTCTTTGACTTCGTCAAAGAGAGCGAGCCGACGCTGATCGGTGGGGTCCCGAGAAAGCTGGAAATTGAGTACCTTAATCCGTTGGATCACTTTGTGGCGAGGCAGCTGCCCCTCTGCAGACCATCGACCGAGGAACGGTTCACCGAAACTACAAACGTACAGCATCGACCGTCGGAAGTGGATCACGCTGCAGCGCCATCTGACAACACGGCCCGTGACCCTATCAGAAACGTAATCACTGGCCGGGATAAGAATGCCGGGATCAATCGGAGATTCGCCAGAAAGATCGAGCCGTTCTGCAAATGCAATTTGTCTTCAGCTAGGCGTGTTTAGGGACGACGATCCCCACGACCACCACCTTCTCGAGGGGGGTTAGGAAGCTTCCAAGGACGGGCGAGAACTAGGCCTCTTTGAGAGGAACACGGAGGAGCCGATGGACCGGGAACCGATCGGGTCTGATTGGTCAAAAGGCGACCCGGGACGTTTGAAGGGAAATGCTCCGTTGCGGAATTACGAGGGCTTCGACTCTTTTTTTTTTTTTTATCTTTTCCTCTGCGTTTTGACTAAGTACGTGTAATGTAATAAGTGTGGAGATGGGGAAGGAGGAAGGAGTAGGCGCAAGAACAACCGTGAACCGGGTAGTTCTGTCTTCACTGCCGTGGATGACTCACTTTTTTTTAGTCTCTTAAATGTACGGACTTTTATTATTTAAAGTGTAAATTGTTATTTATTGCTGCTTATACTTTCTGTTGAGTTTGTTCCTTTGTAGAATAAACGCTTGTGTACCTGTCTGACGAGTTTTTGAAAAGGTTTTGCTTTCAAGGTAGGTATTAGCAATAACAAATTGGGGTCAGGGATGCCTCCCGCTGTTTTCTGTCGGTCAACCACCGCGTTTTCACTTCCCCTTAAGATATTATTCTTACTAACAAGCACCTTTTTATTTTATTACTTTTCTGTCCTTTCCCTGGGACTCGAGTAACGTTTCCTTAGTACTGTACCAGTCGTCAACGCGAACACATCCAGTTTGCACGAAATAGCTTTCAAGAAAGAGCATCTGTGTTTTTTTGTAGTATTAATTTATTACAGTGAATTTTGGTTATAGTGTTCATGCGTGTTATATTTACTATGTATTCGCGTTGTATTTAGTGTTTATTCTGTGTCTGTGCTTCGGTCTCCCTTGCGGATTGGAACGAGTACCCAGGTGTAAGTACATTTCTAACCCAAATTTGTTATCGTTACTAATTCGAAAACGGAACCATTACGCACAAATTCCTTCATTCTTGATTTTCGATTTTATTTTGATACATAGAATCACTTTTTGACCCCTATATGAGGACTTTACACTGTTTTAAAAATACGAACTTAATGTCATTTTTAGACTATTATGTACTTATATTAAAAACAAGACGAATTAGAACAAAATAATTTCTGACACCAGTAGCCCAACACCCTCTACAAGCCACCGATAAATAAAGGCTCGACAATTCTTCAAATTAAAAATGTAGTTACCACAAAGAAATCATTTCTCCCGTGAAAGAAGGACCGACGGTGCTGTAATTAACGATAGGAAAAGAACGAGGCTAGCCGGTAGCCAATAATGAACACTAGCTTTAATTGAATCCTCTGCGGGAAGTTCATAGAAGGCGTTAAACAAACTATCGCCATGCGGGCCACGTTGGACCGCGCGTTCGCTGCTGGATCCCTATAAATCCTTTTCGCCCCTCGTACGTACCGCCCTCCATCTTCTACGCTCTCCTCGAGCAGAATTCCCCTTTTTTTTT